TAATCCCAGCACCTGAGAAGCAGATGCAAGATTAGCAGTTTGAGGCCTCTGTTAGCTACATGGCCAGTTGGAGGCCAGCCTGCACTGCATGAAGCCTTGTTTCAAAAAACTCTCTAAGAAGGAAAGAAAGAAAGAAAGAAAGAAAGAAAGAAAGAAAGAAAGAAAGAAAGAAAGAAAGAAAGAAAGAAAGAAAGAAAGAAAGAAAGAAAGAAAGAAAGAAAGAAAGAAAGAAAGAAAGAAAGAAAGAAAGAAAGAAGGAAAGAAAGAAAGAAAGAAAGAAAGAAAGAAAGAAAGAAAGAAAGAAAGAAAGAAAGGAAGAAAGCCCAAGTGATTTCAGCAAACAAAGCAACATAAATATATCTTTGGTCCTAAATCTCTGGCTTTTGTCCCCTCCAATGGGATCAGCCAATATGAACCAATGAAGGAAACTATCCATTTTAGACTCTGGATAATGGTGACAATGAAATAGCCTGAAATTAAGGATTTAGTCATCTAATAAGCCTTCTTCTGTTAGGATTTGTCTCCAGTCCAGACACAGGAGGCAGCTAGTTGACAAAGGACCAGGTCTCTTCTGCACCGTGTGCTGGAGTTCTGCTCCCAGATGACTGCCCTAGGCTTTTCTGCAAGTGACACTGCAGTCCTGTCCATCCCATGGAAAGCTGCACATTTTGGCCCTGAGGAGGACTGATGCTGGGCCAGATATTTGCCCCTCCAACCCTTGTCTCACTTCTCTTCATTCCTATGCCAGGGCGGCGATCCCCCACCAGAGGACAGCTTGCTGCTCCCCACACACCATGCTAGACACACTGTATGCTTGTACCACTTCTGCCTGTTGCCCTTCTTCATCTGGAAAATTCCAACTCATCCTCTGATGAGCCTCACCCATGTGGAGGCTTTCCTGACCCATGGTGGCAGGACTATCCCTCCCTTCCTCTTTTGGGTGCCCTCCCACTCACCTGATGGGGTAACTGTTTATTTACATGGCTCTGTCTCTCCCAGCACCCAGCCCAGGCTGGGCCCACAGTCCAAACTCATTTGTGACTAAAATTAACTCACTGGAGAGGCAGGATGGCATGGAAGAGCTAGGGTGTGGGTGTCAGACTGGTTATGACTCTGTCCTCACCTTGCTGGCTTCATCACCTCCTACCTCTCTGCTGTCAACATGCTGGCCTCTTCACCTTGCCTGGCCCATATCATGGCCCTTCCATGTATCCTTCCAACTTCTCAAATCCTCTTTGCCTGGCTTCTCATTCTTTAGTGCCCAGCTTAACCATCACCTAAGGGAGGACTTCCTGACTCCTGGATCTCAAGGTGTACCCTCTTCCCAGTTTTCATTCCTGTCCTTCTCTTCATTGACTTCAGTCCTAACAGCCATGTGATTTACTTGATGCTAGTCTGTACTAGACTTTAAAGTCTTTGAGGGACTTTGGTTTGCTCACTGCTATGGGCCCAGGACTACCACAGGGCCTGGCATATATTGGGCACTACATAATTTTTTAAAATTTATTTATGTTTATGAGTGTTTTGCCTTCATGTATGTAACTGCACCCATGTTATGCATTGCCGACAGTGGCCAGAAGAGGGCGCCGGATCCCCTGGAACTGCAGTTATGGATGGTTGTTAGTCACTGTGTGGATACTGGGACTCAAACCCAGGTCTTCTTGAAGAGCAGCCAATGCTCTTAACTTCTGAGCCATCTCTCCAGCTCATGCTGGTCTGAATTTGTGATCCTTTTGCCTCAGCTTCTTCCTTTTTAAAAATCTTTTTTTAGTTTATTTTTATGTATATCAGTGTTTTGCCTGCATGTGCACAATGCCTGGGGAGACCAGAAGAAGGTGTCGGGTCACCTGAAACTGGTGTTACAGATGGTTATTAGCCACACATGGGTGCTGGGAACCAAACCCAGGTCCTCTTCAAGAAGAGCAAATGCTCTTAACTGCTGAACCATGTCTCCATCCCCCCATCTTTGCTTCTTGAGTGGTGAAATTATAGGTGTGTACCATCATGGCTGGACTTTAAGAACAAATGAATGGGTCCAAATCCACTTTACCATCTTTGTGTTGTGTCCTTGGGTTCATTACTAACTGTACTGGCAACTATGTAAAAAGACAAGATACATGAAAAGGCTCCATAAATGACAGTTACTTATTTTCTCTTTCATCTCAAAAATGTACTTTTATCAGGCTTAAGGATTAAAGCTCTTTCAAAAGAAATTTTATTGAACTGTAACAAATACAGAAAAGTAAATGCATCAGTTTTTACATACATACACACGAATGTAGCCACTTCTAAAATTAAGAACATTTGACCTCCAGCAAAGTTGTTCTAACCTTCCTCTCACCTCTTCTGTCATCACCCCTTCTTTCCCTCCTGATTTGATATCATCTGTTCATTCCTCAAACTATTTGATTTATTAATTTCCCTCAAGTCTTTCTTGGGAGGTCTTTTCTAATTAACTCTAATGCTCCTATCAACAAATTAGGTCTCCAAGGTGAGGCACATGTACCCTAGCAGGGTGCAAAATGATCTCCACAATTCCACTCTTAGATATATTCTCAAGAATTAAAAGCAAGGAACTGCAGAGATGGATCAGCAGTTAGTGTGTATCAATCACTCTTGTAGAAGACCTAAGTTTGGTTCCCAGCAGCATCCTGTTGGGTAGCTCACAACTGACTGTAACTCCAACTCCAGGGGATTCAACATACTCTCTGGACTCTGTGGGCACCAGCACTCATGTGTACATATCCCTTCCCATATACACATGATTAAAAATAAATCTTTAAAAAAAGAATTAAAAACAGAAACTCAGTCTCACATGGTGGCACAAACCTTCTATCCCAGCAAACAGGAGGCAGAGGCAGGTGGATCTCTGTGAGTTCAGGCCAGCCTGGTCTACATAGGGAGTTCTAGGCCAGCCAGTGCTACAGAGTGTCTCACAAAAAACAAAAACAAATCCAGAACTCAAACAAATAATATACCTCTTCCTAGCACTATGGCTCACAATAACTGATTGCCAATTTCACAGGATCTACAATTACCTAGGAGACAAATCTTTGGATATGTCTTGAGGAAGTTTCTGGACTGGGTTACTTGAAGTGGGAAGACCAACCCTAAATGTGGTGGCACTGTTCAATGGGCTGGGGTCTTTAATCCCAGTATGTGGGAGGCAGAGGCAGCAGATCTCTGTGAGATTAAGGCCAGCCTGGTCTATATAGGGAGTTCCAGCCCAGACAGGGCCATGTAGTGAGACCTTATCTTAACAAAAGAAGTAAGCTGAGCACCAGCATTCATCTGTATCTGGTGGACACAATATGACCAGTTGACTCACTCTCCTGACACTATGTGTTTCCCACAGGGAGGAACTGTATCCTAAAACTCTGAGCCAAAACAAACCCTTCCTTCCACATTGCTTTTGTCAGGCATTTTGTTACAGCGACCAGAGAACTAATCAGTAATAACCAAAAGATGGTGTTACAGCAACCAGAAAAGTAACCAATACAATAACCAAAAGATGGAAAGCACCTAATATTCATGGACATCCTAGATACAGAAAGTGTGGTATACACTTACGATGGAATAGTTTAGTTCTAAAGAGGAATGAAGTCTTATCAAATGCTATAACACATATGAATCTTGGAAACATGCTGTGTGAAAGGTCACAAAAGGTCTCATATTCCATAAGTCCACATACCAGAGATATAGAAGAGTAAGACTATAATGGCGGTTTCCAGGGGCTGAGAGACTAGTGGTTAAGGTATTTTACTTTGAAGTAATGGAAATGTTCTGGAACTAGAAGTGGTAGTCGCACAACGCTGTGAATGTGCTAAATGCCACTAAATGATTACTTGGAAATGCATATACTTAAAAAGTTGTATGTTTTTGGGTGGATTGCACTCATGCCATGGAATGCACTGGAGGCCAGAAGTCAGCTTTAGGGAGTCCCTCCTCTCCTTTCCATCGTGGGATTAGGGGACTGTACTCAGGTCATCGGATTTACCCCCAACCTGCCTTTATTCTCTGAGACATCTCTGAGCCGAAAATGGCTACTTTTTAAATGTTTACACTGAGACAGGATAATTCGGAGTTGGAGGTTAGAAGTCCCTTTTTCAAAGAAAAAAAAACAGTTGATGTCACATTGCCATCCAGGTGTCCACTCCACCAGCGTTGCTTGAGGGCCACAATAGGCTTCAGTACACCTTGGGCCTTACTGGCTAATCAATTTTGTTAATTTTTTTTTTAATTAAAAAATTTTTTATGTGTATTGCCTGCATATAGGAAAATTAGCACCCATGTGGTGCAATGCCCACGGAGGACAAAAGTGGCTGTCGGATGCCCCGGAACTCGAGTTATGGACAGTAGTTAGCTGCCAAGTGGGTGCTGAGATTCGAACCCGCGTCTTTTGCAAGAACAACCAGTGTTCTTAACCGCTGAGCCATCTCTCCAGCCCCAACTTTATTAATTATTTGCCAATCTTTTTTTTTTTTTTTTTTCTGAGACAGTCTCATGTAGCCCAGGATGACCTTGAACTCCTGATCTTCCTGCCTTCACCTCGCCAAGTGCTGGTATTACAGGCATGCAACACTATGGCGGGCCCTTTGCCAATCTGATGCAGCAAATGCGCCCTGGATTTATAGATGAGGAAACTGAGGTTTATGGGGACTTTCCCACAGAACCCATAAACCACGATTCCCAAGGGATGGCAGCGAAGGCGCCAAAGTTGGGTCTTGTGTCTCTTGGTCAATAGGCGCATCTGATCCTCTGCGAGGAAGGGGGACAAGGTTCCTTCTAGGCCTCGTGACTCTCAGGGGTGGCCAGTTCACGGCTGTGGCCGATGGCCGCCAGAGTCTGCCGAGCCTCCGGACACTCAGTGCCGCCTCAGACCTCTGAACACCTCCGCAGGTCTGGGCTCTGAAATGGCGGCCACCTCTGCATGAGGTCACGCCCCCTGAGGCGGGGCCAGATTCCAGGCCAGAGCGATAGATCATAGAGCCAAATTCGAAGCGAACTGCAGCTCCAGACAGCTCCCGCAGAGGCGGAGACCCAGCGGCGCCGCAGGTCGGAAGGAGGAGCGCCGAGCGCAGGGTTCGCTCTCCGGAGTGGCTGAGAGAGTCTTCGTCGCGGGTGCTGGCGCCGCCATCTTAGATGGCGGGAGTCAGAGCGGAGCGAGCTTGAGGCGGGAAGGCTTCTCTGCCCTTCTCTCTGGGCCCCCAAACGGGCCTGCCGGCCGGGCTTTGGGGCGCGTGCCCTGAGGCACGGAGCGCTAGTGCAGCGATGAGGGGCCTTCTTGGGGCCCCGTCCCCAGGGTTGGGGACGCGTCGAATGTGACCGCCTCCCGTCCCCTCACCCGCCGCGGGCTGGACGAGCGCTCCCGCAGCCGCCGCTGCACGACAGGACCCGGCGCGGCTCCGCTCCCTCAGGTAGGCCGCAGGGCCGAGCGGCAGGACCGAGCTGCGCGGCCGAGGCGCTGACGGGGCGACCCCGTGGGTGCGGGGCGGAGGGCCGGGCCAGGCCGCTGTCACCCCAGCGGCGCGGGCCGGGCGGGGACCCTGGGGCCGGGTGTCATGGCCGGCGAGCCAGTTCTTACATCAATACTCAGATTTCCTTGTGTTTCTCGGAAACGTGCCAGCGCCACCCGGGTGCCCAGCGCGCATTCCTCATATTTTGGCAATGGGAAAAATCCGCCCAGAGCTGCCCGGTGCCTGTGTTGTCACAGGGATGGGCTCATTCCTTTCCTCTACTGCTGCAGATTGGGGGACCCGGGCGTGCACCTCCTCTTGGGCTGCTTCGCTCAAATGACAGACACCCTTTTAGGGAAGGACAGGGAAAAGGAGAAAGAAACCGGTGAGTGCTCCGCGGCCTAGGCGTGGGAGCCTCGCCTGGGGCTTCGGGGCTCTGTGGCTTACAGAGAGCCCGGGGGTGCTGGGGACTGGGGATGCTGGGAATAGTGGAGCTCTGGATAGGGATGCTGGGGGTCGGGGCTAGGGTGCTCGAGATGGGGATGCTGGGGATTGGGAGCTCCGGATGGGGATGCTGGGGGTCGGGCACTGGGGCTGGGATGCTCGGGATGGGAATGCTGGGGATGGGGAGCTGGGCTGCCTTTTGTGTGAGGCGACCGCCACCCGGCTGCTGCAGCTCTGCAGAGCCAGTGGATGACCAGACCAAGGAGTTTGTACATCACAGGAGGCGAAGCGGTTGTGTTCATTCATTGTTCTCTCCCCAGGGCCCAGGGTGTGTCTCTGGTTTTCATTCTTTGTTAGGAGAACCTGACAACGTTGTCTGTCCCTTTGAGATGCTATTCGGTCCTGGGGGCTGTGGGGTTCTCATCGAATTCAGGGCACGTATATCTGCCTGACTGGTGCTCTATGGGGTCCGCGGGAGAGTCTGCCCTCTGTGCTTTCTAGCTCCCAGGGCGTGAAAACAGTGCTGTGTTAAGGGTTGGCTTATCAAGTGTTCTGGGGATTTAGAACAGTTAGGTTTGCTTGGCGGAGTTGTGAAGTTTGTACATTGGACGGAGCGCAAAGCCCCGGGGTGCTTTGCCTGTTTCTGCGTGGAGTTAGGAAGGACTGCGTTTGCCAGGTGAGGCAGAGGGGAGCGCATTGTCAGGGAACAGCTGGCACAGAGGTTTGGCATGCAGAGTTGGGATGCGAGAATTGAGGGTCTAAGAGAAAATTTGGTGGTCTGATAGGGGTCTATCTGTTGTAGTTAGTGGTGAATTAGTTGATTTAGTTTGAATTGTCTAAATGTTGCTGTTTTTTCTTCCTTTTAATTTTTTGAGACAGGATCTCACGGTAGCCTCAACTGGACTAGAACTTGCTATTGTAGACAAGGCTGGTCTGGATCTCAGAGATACGTCGTCCTCTGCCTGGGATTAAAGGTGTGTCGTCACTACGTCCACCTGGGCCAAAAGTTTTTAGTTTTTAAGTCTTGATGATAACTGCTTTCTTCCCCATGATGTTGAAGCTGAAAGAATTAGACTTTCTTTGTTAAACTTAGGTAACTTTTTTTTTTTTCATGTGTTTCATATAAACTGCTTTGTGCTTGTTCAGTAGTGAATAAAATGAATTCCTATCCCTAGAGATTCTTGCAGAAGGCTTTTCTAAAGTTACACCTGCTTACAAAAATGTTGACTTTATAGACTAGCATTCTCTACTACTTCTGAATTTTAAATTGTTGTTGACGATTTAAAAAGTTCCCCAATCATATGGAAATTGGCAGATTATATAAAACACCTGAAAAAGTGTAGACTTCAATTATTTTTAGTTAATCTATTTATATAGTACACTGTTTCTTTGGCTTGATTTCCCCAAATTCCAGGTCTGTTAACAAAGTCTCTAGTCCCATGGATATTACTCTTCTAAAATAGCTGTTGTAATTAGTGTTTATGCTAAAGTGGTTATTATGATGTGAAAAGACTTCAACTAGAAATTCCTAAATCTTTGGGATGGTGATTGTATACCACTGAAGAACATTCAGATTCTTTTGACTTGTTTTTACTCTTATCACTTCACCGGCTAAGTAAGCTGTTTAAAATCCAACAGAAACATTTGACCCTGCTGAGCATTGGATACTTGGAAAAATAAACCTTTCTGTTCTAAAAGCTTATCTGTTAGGTATGTGGTGTTTGTGATTATGTGCTGAAGTGGGATTGCTTAGTTCTGTTAAGGTCTTGTCAAAAGTTGAAAAGGTTTTGTGTCCTTGTGAAGTAGAATGCTTGACTGAAAGGCATTTGAAGGTATTTTAAGGGATTTGGCGTAACAGGACAATGACCAAGAAGCATGTTAAAACTGCCTTTATGACAAAAGGTGTCCAAAATGAAGAATGATACTGTATTACAATTGCTCTGAACCTAGTTTCTTTTAGCTTAAAAAAAAAATTGCTGTTTCTTTGCTCTGAAGATTAAACAACTACATACTTTTTGGAAGCTAAATTTGATGTTTGCAAGCTAGATGTGATGGTGCACACCTGTAGTCCCAGCACTCGGGAGGCAGAGGCAGGCAGATCTCTGTGAGTTCAGTGCCAGTCTGGTCTACAATAGCAAGTTTTGTTGTGTGTGTATTAAGTTGTGCAGATCATAAAAATCAGTTTTTTTCAAAACATGGCTTGGAGAATTGCTTACCTTGCTAAGTTAATTGAAAAATTGGGAACATTGGGTTCTTTTAGGAAGAGGTTGTTTAGGTCTCTCATTTATTTTTTGGTATGTGTCTTAACACTAGATCTTTTTGTCATGATTCCATTGATAGTGATGGTGTAGTGGTAAACTATCTTGTCTGTAATCCTCATGATAATGGCTGCCTACTTTATTCTTACCTTAAACGTTTTAAGTGAAAACTCCTTCCTTAATTACATATTAAAATTTACACCTTTAATTTTTATACTGAGTCATTACTCCTCTGCTCCCAAAATTACTTGTGTAGCTCTCAGTGATTTTCAGGTTCTTTTTGCTTTGTTTTTAGTTGTTTTTTTTTAAAGACAGGGTCTCACTATGTGCAAGGATGGCCTCAAATTGTGATCCTCCTGCCTCAGCCTCCTGAGTGTTGGAATGACAGGTGTGTGCTGTCACATCTAGTTAAGTGATTTTAATGGTTAATTTCAGATCTGTTTGCTGTCTGAAAATTTCCAGTGGGTGCTGCTGCTTTGTTATTTGGATTAGCTCAGGCTATGTGAAGGTTCTTTTAAAATTACTTACATTGTGTTAATTGGCATCACATTCCAATCAGTGTACATAGTATTTTTTGAAGAACATGTGACACGTAAGTTTTATTTTTAGACCAGATTCTAAAGGATTTAGCTGGGTGGGGATGAACAATCCTCAAAAGCTATGTTAGAATTTAAAAATCTTTGTGATTTAGAGAGTGCTTACATTTTTGGTTAAGGGGTATGAAGCAGCAGGCTGTGACAATGTTTTAGGGGAACCCAGTGTGGCATGTTGCTTCTGAGAACCCTTGTGGTCTGATCCGTGTCATCTTCCTCTTTCTAACTATTGGATTTAATTTAATGTCAACCCGTAGCAAAAGTGAGCACACCCTATTTTAGTCAAGATATTTTCTCCTCTTTTATTCCCCCTCTAATCTGCTGTGAAGAGTTCTCTGATTATTTTTCCTTCAAGCTTCATAACTAGACCTGACATTTGGTCAGTACACTCGCCTTTTCTGTTTTTTTGGGGGGAGGGGGGTGCAGTGCTGGGGATTGAACCTAGATAGGGACTTGGGTATACTAGGCAAACACTCTACTACTGAGCTACAGCCCAAGTCTATTTGCCTTTCTTCCACTCTGTAGATCAGTGTTGGAAGAGTTAGTTAATGGTTATATCTTTGAGTTCTCTCTTTTCTTTTGTGTTTGTTTTTTGAGACAGGGTTTCACTATGGAGCCCTAACTGGTCTCAGGGCTATCTACCTGCTTTAGTCTCCCAACCAAGTGCTAGAATTATAGGCATGAACAATCATACCTGGCTTGAGTTTTCATTCTTTT